AGGGAAAGAATGCTGAGTTTCCATGCCCTCTCTGGCCACACCACTCTCCCAGCACCTCCACATGTTCACCAACCCAGAAGCTCTCCGAACCCCTTCTTTTGGGTTTTTTATGAAGGCTTCATTACATAGGCATGAGTGATTAAATCACTGGCCATTGCTGATTGAACTCAATCTCCAGCCCCTAGCCCCTCCCCCCTCCCCGGAGTGGAGAGTGGAGGGTGGAGGGTGGGACTGAAAGTGCTAACCCTCTAATCCTGGAGTTGGTTACCCTGGCAACGGGCCCCCATCCTTAGGTGCTTTTTAAAAGTCACCCCATTTAACTTAAACCCAGTTGTGGTGGAAAGAAGCTTGTTATGAATAACAAGACATCTGTTTCACCTCTAAGGCTCAGAAGCCATTTCAGGACCTGAGGACAAGAAACCAAATATTATAACAAAACATGTTTCCATTGCTCTTACTGCTCAGGAAATTCCAAGGATTTTGAGAGCTATGAGCCAGGAACCCAGGGTGAAGATCAAATATATGTGAGAAATATATTTTGGTTATCTGAATGTGGCCAAATACATATTTCTTATAAATCACAACATCTCACGGGCTCTTCAGATGCTCTGCACATCTAAATCTCAGAATGCAACTGTGAAATTGCACTTGATTTCTAGATGTTTGGAGGAGCTTCTTGGTTCTTCCTTCATAACCATGAGCTACCACCCTTACCACCCCTCCCTACAATTTCCCCACCAAAACACTTTTACAACCACCAGTAAAATCAGGTGCACATATTTTTGCAAGCAGCCTTAAATTCTTTTTAAGAACAAGGCAAAGGTATATGTTAAGTTAGAATTCAGATGGCCATTTGTCCCAGTTTGCCTAGGGCAGTACCAGTTTATGCCTACTGCCCTGCATAATTTTTAAACGAGCTCCCCTTTTTACTCTAAAAAAAAAAGGCCCAGTTTGGAGGATAAATTATATGTTTTCCCTACTTAAAAATACACCTTGCTTTCCCAATAAAGTGCTTTTCGGGTGACTCAGTGCTGTTGCCCACATCATTGCACTTTAGTTGCACAACAACTCTGCAAAGTAGGAAGAGAAATACTTTATCTCTGTCAATTAAATGAAGTAACCAAGGCTGGCTTCAGGTAGCACGGTGGTGATTGTCCGAGGTCACACGCTCAGTGACAGAATCAGAGCCAAAACCCAGGACTCCTGATTTCAAGTCCAATATTGTTCAGCTGTGGATCCCTTTGTGCAAATATCTAAGTAAAGGCAAACCTCATTCTCTTGTTTAGTAACCTGCTTGAACTTGGACCTAGAACAGTTTAGACAGGTTCATCCTTGCCCAGAGACTCTCTTTTCACATTTGAAGCAAACAAAGAGATGAAAAAAGAATTACGTAAACATAAATTGGGTATTAGTGAACCCTAGGGCCAAATGACATAAATCTTTGATTTTACCAGGGGCAGTTATATCAGGTTATTGGAATTTTATTTCTAACCAAATTAGGATGACTTGGTTGACAACAGGAAGGAAGGGAGGGAGGGAGAACGAAGTAAATGAAGGAAAAGAGATGGGCAGACAGAAATACAGACAATAAAGATCAATAATGAATGCCTACGGTTACAAAAAACATATAAATGGGTTCTGCCCCAGTCTTATAGATACATTTCCCGTATGGTTACGTGCTAATCTTTTTTTTTTTAAAACCTAAAACCAGTAAAATTCTACTCTCCTTGGATAAGTGGCAACGACAGAAAACAGAGGTAAATCCCACGATCCTTCAAAGACAGGCACAGTGCTTGGCAAGGTCTTCAGGGTGTCCTAGAGGTGCTGAATGCGGCGCCACACGGAGAAATAAATGCACACTCCCCTAACCTCCCGACTGGCCGCCCTAAGATAAGATTACACGACCCGCGGGGGTCCCTGCCTCCTTTCGCAATGACAGAAAGAGGTCTAGTGTGCCTTGGGAAGGATGACTCCAAGCCGCTCGCCAGTCTAGCCGGACTGCAGCAGAGGGGTGGACGCCTTGGGGCCTGGCCCGGGCACCGCAGCTGACCTGGGAGGCGGCCGGCCTTCCCCTCGGCGACCTGAAGGTGAGAGGGTAGCAGAGGACGCGCGCGGTTCCCCGTGGAGGGGGTGGGGAGGCGAAAGGGCCGCACGCGCATGCGCCGCACCGCCACCTCCGCG